AAACTAAATATAGCTAAATTAATTATAATAATTAGCATGTAATTAAGAAAAGACTTAGAAAAATAATGAAAAAAAAAGAAAAATTACGGAGAAGTTATAGTATTGTTACATAATCTATCCATTAAAATATTAAGAAAAAATTAAGAATAAAATTATATTAAACCATAATAAAATAAAAATGAGTAATTTAACAACTTTCTCCATATACATCGAATGTAAATTAGTATTCATTAAACTATTAAATAAAAGATGTGTATATTTAGATAAAATTTCTTGGATGCATAAAATGAAAAACGTACAGTACTCCTGTTCGTTAAACTATTATAGTATAAATTTTCTCCAGGTGCATCCAGTATAATAGGAAGTATCTTTAATCTGTAACTATAAAAATAATAACTAAAATCATATTAAAAAAAATAATGAAATGCATTAGATAAACATATGACCCACAAACATGAACTGGATATTGTTATAACCATAACTTTCCTGTTGGTTCACAACAGAAACTTGTTCTATCTGTTTATTTAATTATCAACCCAAGTGACACAAACGATATGCTTCGTAGTAACCAATTGTCAATATACATCTATCCGCAATATGAGATAGGAACAAGCTCGATAACCCATATGAATGATCTATATTTATTAGTGAACAATGGCCATTTCGACAATATGTTAAAGTTTGATAATAAAATCAGACCCATCTGAGTCCTCCTTGTAGATGGGAGTCCAGATGAAAATCCCTGATATTTGAAAAACATCTCTCAATACTGTGCCATATTTTGCTCTTTCGATCTCAATTATTTGATCATTAGGACTCATGCTCCGGATTAGTGATCTAGAATTGACTAAAATTATTTGATTAACTACCAATTTGCCAAAATTATCAATTAAAAAATTTAGTCAACTGATAAATATTTTTTTTTTTTTTTTTGCTTTCGCTAAGGCCATAGTTATTGGTGACTATTGCCTTTATTGTATTTTAATTATGATCACATAACTTGTACAAGATGAGTATACAACTAGCCACACGTACAACTTTTGGTTGTCTAATTTAAGTAGTCCATCTGCACAGCAGGTTCTATACTAGCTGCTATACCTGCAATCTACTAGGAGATTACCTAATTTAAACACTCTGATCCTTATACTTATACCGACAAATAGCACACAAGCTCCCGTACACCTAAGTACCATCTAACCTAATTATAACCTTTTTGTCTGTACATCCATCAAGCCATTACACATTTCAGAGTATGTCACCTGACTTTAAGGCTCCAGAAGGCCCCCCTGCTAACTAACTACCCACATTTAGTATCTTGTTAACAGGGCTCGCCCTTGCAGAGTTCACCCAGACCC